AGAGAGAGAGAGAGAGAGAGAGAGAGAGAGAGAGAGAGAGAGAGAGAGAGAGAGAGAGAGAGAGAGAGAGAGAGAGAGAGAGAAAGCTGATCGGGGTGCCTTTTGCCCCGCAGCGTGGCTGCGGGGGGTTCCCTTGTAACAATAATGATATTGAATGGATGAACCAGAATCAATGCCCGAATCCCTCTTGTACTACAGGCACAACATGAGGTCCACGATAGCCATGACGATCCTTCGGAATCCTCTTCCTCTTCATGTAGGCCAAGGCTATGGCGGACTACTGAGGGCTCTGCCCTCCTGTCCAAATGACAACCCAAAGCAGCTATGTTGCTGCCGTCCTGTCCAAAGGACAATACAAAGCTATGTCGCTGCTCATCAAGCCGCCATGCCTGACTCTGCCTCGAGCTTCCTTGGTGCGCCACTACCCCAACTGGGGCCTTCCAGATGCAGCGCCTATCAAGGTGATGAAGATGGTGTCCACCATAGCCAGGTAGGTACCTCGCCACTCTCCTCCTCAGTCCTCTTCTCCCTCCTCCTCCTCCCGGTAGAGCTCCACCATAGCCGCTGTGGGAGCTTCCGGTCTTCTTCCTCCCTGCAGTGCCGTAGTGCCCAGCGCTCTCCAGCCAGTGCTCCAAGCAGTGTGTCGCCAAACTTGCACACCGAAGAATGAGGCTGAGCTCTTGGCTCAGACCGAAGATATAGCAGCCTACTTGCCTCTTGGGCGGTGACTTCCAGGCCGCTCGACCTCCCAAGCAACCGGCACCTCCTCCCTTTCGGAGGGAAGCATCATTGCAGACTCTGACATTGTCCGTACAGGCCCTAGACTCAGACTGGTTGGACTGGTACCTGTCTAGACCTAGCCTACCACTACTGGGCCTCTAAAAATGCCAAATTTGTCCTCTTCTGCTCGGCCTCGAGTACCCGGCACATGTACTTCTACTTGGTGTGGTACCGGCCTACCTGCTACTTGAGTGTTTTTCCGCTGCTCTAAGTGCCGTGGGCCTCTTCCTCCGCCACTCAAGTGTGTTTTCCCCTGCCGCAACCCTCAATGTCCCGGCCGCAGGTAAGTACTGGCCCTACGGGTCACACACACCCTCAGGTCGACAACCACTCAGACAGGCACGCAGGTCACCAAGCATGCACACACACAGACATAGAAAACTCGGCAGAATGCGGGAATCTCAGCAAGGCATCCATTCCATCGGCAGAACTCACAAATCAGCAGTGTTCTCAGTCTGTATTATGGCGGGTCATTACACCATTCTTCTTTTCTGCTGATCTCATTGCACTTCTCTGGAGTTTTCATGAACAGCATTGTCTCAAAGTGGTGTCTTGCGACAGGAAATGGCCAGGATCATAGCAATTATTATTATCATTGTGAGGGCATAGAGTGCACGCAGCTGATCAAGGTGTGTTGCTTTTTTTGACTACTCTGTTTCCTATGTTCCGCAGGAGTTTGAGCTGCCGATTGTTACTTACTGCAAGATAGCCGGATCTATGGTTTATGATGAGAGAGTAAACTCAAAGGTGGATGCCAAGGCAGCTATCTCTGCACTGAAGGAGTACTCGCCTTTTGACAAGTACAAGCTGGGGGCAGCCTTTGAGAAGATCAAACACACGGGAACGTGCATATTCATATATAATCTCATGCAATTGGGTAAGGGCTACGAGCTTGAATGGGATGAACCTGATCCCGCACATGCTTCGAGATCAGACTATCGACCTGACATCCGGATTTCAACCAGAGCGGTACAACAGAGGCCCGGCCAGCTAAGCACTGAGGTATTTCTTCATTTCATTATATTAGTCGCCACTGCTCGCTACCATCTTCACCCTACTCAAATGCCCAGTCACTGTTACAGTATCTAGACTGCCCCCCAAATACGGGACGTAAGCAGCCAGCAGCTATAATGACGGGGTGTTCGATTCAGGTGAAGACGGTAGCTGTACCGATGGGCGTAGCTCAGTTGCTACACCCACAAACTGTTTGAAATACAGACCGCAAGTATGAATCCTGATGGACCTAGATGTATGCAATGAAATAATTCTTTGAAAACGGTGAAGACGGTAGCTTCGGTGGGGGTCGTTCTGAGGTCTCTTCTCTTCTCTTCTTGTGTTTTGCTGTACAGTGAGACATGCCAGTTGTTTCGATTCATATAGTGTACACTGCCCAGTCATCTTCTCTCTCTCTATATATATTGAAATCAGTCTTGCAAATTCACACTCAAACATGCATGCAACAGATGAGAATAACTTGGCGCTGTGCACCCAACTCAAACTCGGAGATATGGYAGCTTGCAACTCAACTCAAATCCAAGTTTACTTCAGTTGACTATGGCGCTGGGCGCCCACACTTACACGTTCGACTCAGAGTTCACACGCAACTCGACTCCGGATCACCCTGGATACCAT